GGGGCTGGGAGGAGCAGTCCTATCGAAAAGGTACCCTGCTGGTGCTACACTCCTAAAATGTTCGGTCCAATTCCATGTAGTTGTTTTTTCTTTTGGGTCCGATCGTAAAGCTCATGGGCTCCATTTGCTTTAGGGGTCGTCAATAAGCAACTCGCTGGAGGGGGGGGGGGGGCTAGGTTCTTGACGCACCATGCGCACCATGCACTGCTAGAGGCCATAGTGTACCATTCTGGTTGGGTGTTAAAGCCGGACTACTGATCCACTGGAAATCCACGAGTACAAATGTCGAACACCTGCAGGCGGGTGAAAAATATCACACACACCTGCAGGTGTGCTACAAAATTTTCACACACCTGCAGATGTGTGAATGACCATTCACACGCTCGCGATCGGGTAAATGGCTACACATTTTCAAGCCTGCGAATCTCTAAGTATTCGCTTACTTCTCCAGAAGTATGTGAATATTTTGTCACAGACCTGCGTGTGTTTGAGTTTTTTTCATTCACCTGCAGGTGAGCGACATTCGCACACTTCCAGTGTTGTTTGGGGTTTATCGAAGCGGGCCTTTTGCGCTCTGAAGCAGGTGGTGACTTCAGCTGAAGCGAATGCTGAAGCGAATGCTGAAGCGGGCCCTTGAAGCGGGTGCTGGGCGTCCTGGGCCGGGGCGGCCGGACGACAGGTGCGGGGGGAGCGTCCCTTGTGGCGGGCCCGGGCCGGCGGGACCATCACTTAATTACCTGCACACCTCCTGAGGTGTGATGGCATCATGGTGGGGGGGGGGGCCTCTGCTCGCCGGAGGTAAATGACTTTGGAGGGGAGGAAAAGAGGAAGGATGAGAAAAGTAAGAAGAAGGAGAAAAAGAGGGTCGTCGTGATTTGAACTCCCCCGCGCGCCCGCGGTGTTGTCGGCGGCCTGCTGCTGCCTCTCTGTTGGCGGCGGGGGCGATTATAAACTGAGTCGTCATCGTGAATCGGACAGACTTCGGCGGAACCTCTACTAGACGCTACCTGAGCGCCGCCATTCACCGGGGCCGCCGCGCCTCGCGCCACAGGGGAGGAAGGTAGACTACACTGCCGGGGATCGTGTGTGATTTTTCCCTGTAAAAGCGCGGCGCGACAGTCTGGGAATCGTGACCGGTGAGGAGGAGGGAGGGGGGGGCTCGCTGCTGGCTGCCGCTGGCTGGCTGCTCTCATGGTGGAATGTGGACGGACACATACGTGTTCGTTATTGTGGCGGGGCGGGCCCTCCCTACCGGCTCGCAATTCAGCCATGTGCATCCTCCACCCGCCGCCGCCGCAGCCACGCCACGCCGGTTAGTCGTGGGAAAGTGACCCGGGCGCCTCCCCCCCCGCCACGCCACGCCACGCCCCGCCACGCCCCGCCACGCCCCGCGCGCACCTTGCCGACGACGGAGGCAGCGGTGAGGAAGAAAGGGGCGGAAGAAGAAGAGCTGGTGGAGGAGGAGGAGGAGGAGGGAGGCGGCGCGGAACGAAAAATTTAGTGAATGATGCGCGGCTTTGGCCGGCCGTGTGTGTTGCGGTTAGGTATACGTAGAGGGTCTCGGCGGTCCGGACGCACCAGGACCATAGGGCGAGCCATAAGGGCACAAAGAGAAGCATTGCGTTTCTACTACAAATTTACGAGTCCATAATATTTCGGGGAAAAAATGGAAAGAAAAGGAAAGAAAGAAACTTTCCAGGTAAAAACGAAGAGGTTCAATAATTCTTGAACATTTTCCCAAAAATGCTTTGTTTTGGAAAATTAAAATCCCATTCCTAGCGAACTGTACGCAGAATTTACGTGCGACCCAACGGCAGTCGAGTTGTTCTCGTCTCCCCGTCTGACGATATTCCGTACTTTTTATTTCGTGTCCCTCCCCGGCCGCGCATAGGAAGTGATACGTTTGGCGGACGGCGCGACGTGTGTCTGTCTGTCTGTGTGTGTCTGTGTGTCTGCGTGTGTCTGTGTGGTGCGTGGGTGAGCTGCCGCACCTCGCGCGCGCCTCCGCTTCGCATCGGGGCGTGGCAGGGACCATACACAGCTTCGCGGCGGCAGCTCGCGGGGCCGTTCGTTGGCGCAGCGGTGCGAGCAGCGGTGGTGTGGCCACGGGTCTGCTCTGCGCCGGCCGGCTATGGGTCCCTCGCGGGGCTGGCCACGCCACGCCACGCCACGCCACGCCTCGCCCGGAGCGCAGCGCTCATGGGATGTGATGAATATGGATCAGCGAGCGCTCATGGCCTGTCCGGCCCGGGCCTGGCCTCTCCCGGCCGCGGCCCCGTGGCCTTCTGAGGCCAACAGGCCGCACGACGTCAGGTCTGGGGGTACGAATATCATGCGGCCCCCACTTGTCCAGGACCAACTCAAGAGCTCATCGGGATCGGGGCCCCATGATATTTGTACCCGCGGGGTGGGAAAAAAATATCTGTGGCATGGGGTCCTTTTAAGCACCTACTGAGAGGTTATTATATTTGGAACCACTTTTGGGAAGTATTAACACAACAGTTTTAAGCATACAAACTTTTTTACGAATTAGTTTGTAACCTACAATAGGCAAATGCTTATTTGTATATGTACGAAGATTTCCACTTTTTTGCAGCATGTTTGCAGCTTAGAAACGAATTTGTTTGTCCGCGAATTTCACAGTCACAGTGTGCAGTGTGTCGCCTTTGCCTCTTCTTCCGTGGGGCGGCGGACGGCGCCCCTCTGCGGGCTTCCTCTGGTGCTTGTCGCACCCCGCGGTGCTCCGCATGGGAAGTG